ATTTTAGTATACCATTGAATAATGACTGAATACATAAGCTTAAGCAACAAAACATTGTTTATTTTTATCAAGGAGGTTCTTAACCAAGACCAACAGAAAAGTGAAATTTTTGCCATAAAGTGTAGCAATAGCATATTTAGGAATATAGTACATTTCAGAGATTCAGGTAGCCTATAGGTAGGTAGACCTTCTGTAAACTATAACACTTTGTTTTTTAAGTAAAACACAATACTTTCAAGTACATTCAGAACATTGGAAACCCTGACTATTAGAAAACATCTCTCTGTTGCTTCAGAGGCCATAACAGACTTTGTTGATTTACCAACAGTTGATTTAAAAAATCTAATCAATTTCAGTCCAACTCTCTCAATAACCTTGGCCAAAACAATAAACAGTTCAACATAAAGTGCCAGTTGCACCAACAACGTAATAAATAGTTCAACATAAAGTGTACCATTTAAAATAAAATAAAAAAGTGCCAGTGATTGACCTCAATCCCTCCTATTCTTCCAATATCCTGATGAAAAATAAAATCTCTCTGTTGCATATGCCACTGTTTGATCAACGCGAATTGGGTGTGGGTCCTTGTACTCCGAGTCGGGCTAACGTCCACGCTAGCTTCCACGCTAACTGCTATATGTTTTGCATTCAGGTGATACTTGAGGCTTGATGTGCTGCGGTGATATGCGAATTTCTTTTTGCATAATTTGCAAACAACCGTGCTCTTATCGACGCTTCCATCCGTCCGTTTTTTAAAACAAAATGTCCCATCCACGGGGCCAACCAAAGCGGTCTCATCAGCTTCTTCGTTCATGTTTGACTATTGTTCACTGTGGTTTGTTGTTGTCTGAAGTCATGAACGTTAGTTGGTGCTCCAGTATAATCGGTACCCCTGAAACTCATCCAGTGAGAAACGTTCCGCGGTACAAAAATAAGTGCGATTAAAATGCGTTAATTTTTGTGTAATTAATTCATCTTAATTAACGCGTTAAAGTCCCGGCCCTAATATATATATATTGGGGTTTCAGCCCCTAAGCTCACTGCCTCATGTTTGATTTGTTTTGATTCACGCATGAAAGTTTCATTACATCACACCAACACTTGGTCCGGGATGTACATAACTGCAGTGTTAGTACTGTTTGTATGAATGATTTGTCCTTTACCCCCTGGTAGGTAAATGGAGGTGCAGGACAGGAGCCGCTCCCCTTCCCGTAGAACCAGCCGGGTAGAGCAGGTGGTGGGACGATGGCTGAGGAGGTCCCGAGACCTGGGCAGCAGGTCTCACTCTCTGAGCAGGTAAACTCTGTTTTTATCTTATTTAGATTCAGCATTTAGAGTCTCAACTTCATCTGACATATATGCATTCTGACTGAGGGAGGGAAGTCCTGTATGTTGCTATTGTGTGTTATACATATTATATCTCTCCTTACTTTTCTAACAAACACAAATATGAAGTTGTTCACCACAGAAATCTACCAGGGCAGAAATGCAAATCAGATTCTGAAAAGGTTTGTTTTCCCTTTTGAATTGATGTGCATCTGCTCCTCTCCAGAGAGCGTGTTGGAGTGGACGGGAAGTCAGAGTGCAGCGGCTCCGATCAGAGGAATTACCCCTTCCGCTTCATCGTTCAGATCCAACGGGACCTGGACCTCAACTCTCACGGCCTCACTCTATCCTACACCACCCCCATCCTGGTGCAGGAGGTCACCCCAGGTACGAGACTTGTTAAATGTAAACATAACCGAGGGAAAAAGAAGAACAACATTACTCGAATAACTTAGACTTGTGCAGACATAATAGTAGAATGTTTTTAACAGCTCCTCCTTCACTTGAGTGCCTCTTTTAAGGGAACCGTTTTGAATGGTCTGAAGTCTCCCTTTGCCATGGTTCTTAACACCAGTTTCCTTTGCTGGTCTGCAGTGTTAGCTCTACTTTCTTATGGCGCATTTCCACTACACGGCCTTGCTCGCCCTCGCTCGGTATGGCTAGGCCTCGTTAGGCCTTGTTAGGACTCCATAACGGTACGTCCACACAGCAGTGTTAAAAAAATCTTGGAGGTGGGCGTATCTGAAGCTTGGGGATTTTTTGCGAGCAACGCGACCAACAACCAATCACATGAATCTCCCGCTCCCGACATACAAAGCAAAAAACCCCGGTTCTTCTCCACATAATGTGATGCATATAGTCCAGGGGTGTCAAACTCAAGGCCCGGGGGCCAAATCCGGCCCGCGACTTCATTTTATGTGGCCCCGCAAGAGCTTGCAAAGAATATAATAGGTTTATTATACGGTTACATGCCACTTCATAGAAGCAGGTTGCCCAATAAACTACATGTCCCACAATGCATCTCGTTTTGTGACATGCTCACTGAAGAGACTTGCAATTATTTGCCCTGGACTTCTGCTTTCAGACGTAGTTAATTACTAAGTTATTATCCTATCCGATAATAATCAAATTCAGAGGCAATAATGTAATATAATACATTATTTTATATATATATTATATATTTATATAGTTACAACCGGCCCCTTTGAGTGCAACCTTTATGCGAATGTGGCCCGCGATGAAATTGAGTTTGACACCCCTGCACTATGGGATGCGCCTCAACGCGTATGCAAACAGGAGCATCAATCTCATTACGCCAATCCTGATTGGCTGGTGATGTTGACGTCTACGTCAGGGAATCCACCCACCCTTTAAGTAGCTTGCGCTACGTCGCAGTGTCATTCAAAATAAGCACCTCTTCTCGCTTCGCCTTAGCAAGAAGGGCCGTCTGGTGAGACATCTCACTTCATGTTACTCTGAGAACTGGGGTTACGTAAGTAACCTATATTTCTCATTCGTAACACTCCGTTCGATGTCTCACTATGGGATATTGAAACTCCCGTATTGCTAGACATGCTTATCTCGAAAATCACCAAAACAACCAGAACTTAACAGGTAGAACC